AAAAATGCAATGTTACCGGCTTGGAAGATGGACAAAGAGACCCTGAGTCAAGGAATGTAGACATCTTCTAGCTGCTAAAAAGACAAAGAAATGGGTCTTCCTTATGGACCCTGAGAGAGAACATGGTCTCAATGGCTCATTTTAAACCTTTGACTTGAGATGTGTAAGATAATGAATTTGAGTTATCAAATTAGGTGCAATTTGTGTGGCCAGAGGCATTTGATAATCCATTCTATGCTTAATGATACTGAGTCCAGGGAATGCTCTTATTCAGCCAGTCTTTATTTTTTGAAATGGTAACCCCTTGCCCTGGTTATTCCTTACGCCATGGTGCCAGGGGAGGCAGCTGGAAGGGGTGGGAAAATGCACCAGGAAGAGATGCAGAGCTGGACTTCAGCTAATCAGGGTTTGTTTGCTTTGTTTTCTTGTGAGAGTATTGCCTGGCATGGGTGTTCTTTAACCCTTTCTACATTTAAAGTCTTAAAACTTTTCAATTTGAAACTTAAATCTGCGCTGGAGAGATGGCTCAGCAGTTAAGAGAACTGGACTGCTCTTTCAGAGGACCCAGGTTTGATTCCCAGCACACCCAGCTGCTAACCACCATCTGGAACTCCTGTTCCAGGGGATTTACTGCCCTCTCCTGGCCTCTACAAGCATTGTGCATACATATTGTGTGTAGACATACACAAGCAAAACCACCCATACACATAAAATAATAATAAAAAAACCTTAAATCTAAATCATGTAACAACTTGAAAATATTAGAGATATCTACACTAAGTTGTATATTATAATCAATATAACTTCTGGATCTTCCCTTCTAGTTACACTTCATGGAGAGCTCTGATTTCCTCACCTCCTTCTGAGAGGTGGTGTCCAGACTGTACAAGGCATACAAACCTCACTGTGTCTACCTGTGAACCTGCTTACTCTCTTGCTACAGTCCATCTAACTATTCCATATGATCCTTCAGACTTAGTGTGTTTTTTTGTGTGTGTGGGGGGGTTCAAGACAGGGTTTCTCTGTGCAGCTTTGTGCCTTTTCTGGAACTCACTCTGTAGCCCAGGCTAGACTCAAACTCACAGAGATCTGCCTGCCTCTGCCTCCCAAGAGCTAGGATTAAAGGTGTGTACCACCACCGCTCGGCTTTAGTGTGTTTTTTCAATCGATTTTTTTTTTCTGACTTTACCTCTCAAAAGAGAACATCTATAATAAAAGACTTAACACAAGTGTTAATTCTTTTTAATAGGGAGGAGCAAGCTTTTCTAGCAGTAGTCTAAACTAGCCATACTTATTTGCTTAGCAGAATTTAAGTAATAATTCATTTCACAGCTACTGAAGGTCAGTGGTTTGTAACTTCTTAGGATCATAGATCTGCTTTTTTAAAGATTCATTTTATTGTTTAAGTGGTATATGTATGTATGCGTCTATGTGTGGGTATGTGCATGTGAGTGGTGGTGTCCATAGCGGTCAAAAGAAGTCAAATTCCCAGGAGATGGAGTTAGAGATGCCTCTGAGCCACCCAACACAGATGCTGGAAAGCAAACTCAGACCCGTTTGAAGAGCAGTTACAGGCCCTTCACCACTGAGCCATCTCTCTAGCCCCAGGGATACAGATGAAAGCTCTAGATTTTCGACCATAAAGAAACACACATTGAACTAAGATTCTTGTACATTGTTTTATCATTTTTGCAGCATTTCAGCTCTCCTGAACTAATCTCTGATGTGTGATAAGTTCACAAGGCTTCACAGAAGGGTAAACTGAGGTCTCTGGGCCTAGACTGAGTGAACACCCAATGAAGATCAAGCAAGAAAGTCTTCAGGTCTCACAGCAGCTTGAGTTCTCAGGTTGAACAAAGAATGGCTTTCAGTGGCCTCCTTATGCAATAAGAACTTCGCTTCTCTGTGGTGATATTTTCTTTGTGCACACTAATAAAGTTTATTCGAGGATCAGAGGGAAAAAAACAGCCACTATATTAAACATAGAAGTCAGGCACTGGTAGCACACACCTTTAATCCTAGCCTTCGGAGGCAGTGATTCATCTGGATCTCTGTGAGTTCAAGGCCACACTAGGAACAGAGCCAGGAATGGTGACACACATCTTTAATCTCAGCACTAACCATAGAGGACTGGAGGTCTGTACAGACAGACAGGAAGTGATGTAGCTGGGCAGAGAGAGGAAATGAGATGCAGAACAGAAAGGCATATAGGCGTGGGTATACAGGAAGCAGGTCCCTTTGGCTGAGGATTGCCAAGTGGTAAGAATGTGGCTGGCTTCTTTCTGCTTTTCTGATCTCTCAGTTTTTACCCCAGTATCTAGCTCTGGGTTTTTCATTAATAAGATCATTTAGCAATTCATCTTACACTTCTCAGCACCTTTCTTTCCAGGAAAAAAAATCCCTCTTTTCAAATGCTTGGTCCCTTAGGTAAAACTGCCTGACTGTACGTACACATGATGCTCATGGACAGAAGCCCACACTTCTATGTTCCTCCAAGCTCCATGCTACCCCCAAACATTGGCCAGCTGTGAAAACACATTGGCCTAACACTTATCCAGGCCATCCTGGGTGAGGTCTGAGGCGCACAGCCACTGTCCCTACATTGCAACATCTCACCCGCTGTGAGATTGAATAGTTTCAAGTCTTCAAAATAATAACATACCTTTGGTCACAGGGAACAGATTTGCTGAGGGGAAAACAAAAACATGCTGCTGGTTGGAAGAGTTTCTTTTGAAAAAAAAAAAGTTACACTAAAATATCAAGGACTTTCAGGCATCTTACTGAGCCTTGGGAATTCACATTCTCGGGAATCATTTTCAAAGGTGAAGGAGTGGGATTTGCTCTCTGCATTCAATATTTACCCAGTGCTGCCATGGGTGTGGCTGACACAAAGACCTTCTCCTCCCCCCAGTACGAATTGTTCCAAATGTGGAAGACGGACTTCCACGGAAAACATCAAGTTCCCTTTCGACAAAAAGAAGAGCTAGTTTTTCTATCTCACACAGTAGCCGACATATGTACACAGAATTCAGTTCTAGGGTAGAATGTGTAGTACCATCAGCTGCATCTCCCCCTCCCAAAGAAATCTAGAAAGAGTCAGAAATGTGGGTTATTCCTATAGTTTCTCCACAATGCACTCTTTAAAAAGCTTACATCTATTTGAAAAGGAAATTTCTACCTTTATTGAAAAACCTACTTTTACAAAGAAAGGGCAAAATAAATAAAAACAACGCAATGTTCACAATGATATTGAACATTAGCTGGGTACGGATGCTTCTTTCTGTTTAGATGATAAAAGGTTTCCTCACTCAACTGAGACTCCACTCTTAACTGATTGGAGTTACTAAATGGTTAGTGGCAATCATTTTATTTAAGGACACGGCCCCCTTTAGCCCACAATGTATGTCACCCGTGGTATGAGTCCCACTATCTGAACCACGCTTATTTGGTGCAGGAATTTCACAACTTTCTATACACCAAAAAACCTATTTTCACTTACTCCCTCTTAAGATATCCTCCAAAAAATAATCACCATTTCTGGTGGTTGAATCTAGAAATCTAAGATGATTACTTCCTAGACATTGTCTCCAGTGTCTTCCTTATACTCTATTGATTTCTTTGCCACTGACCTCCCCATAATCAGGGTGGAGGAGAATGAGAATGAACTAGGTCTAGGTACCCAGCACCATCCAGACCTTTCCCTGCAAAGCTCCCATAAGTGGACCACACTGTCTGAAGTTACTGCTTCGGTGTCTCGGTGACGAGTTCTTGACAAATCATTCAATCAACATGTGTGTTGTCAGGCAACTATGTTAAAGGCATAAAGGTGCTGGGTGCTATTTAGAGAGTAGAGATGCAAAGTCACAGCCCCTCACTGTAATAGCTGCTAGTGCATGTTTACTCAGTACCAAGTTCTCTACATAGAGATCCAGATGGACTTTGCCTAAGGTCACACAGCTGGGAGGTGATGGAGTTCGTATAGAAACTTGGGTCTCATGTGCTACACTTACAGCCTGGCGGTAACATGAGAAATTAATCTGTGGTTAGGCATTACAGAGTCCATCCATAATGCAAGAGCTTCTTTGTCACAGAAGCAATGTCTCCACCAAAGTACTTGCTCAGAAGTTGAAGGAGAAAAATATCTCTGCACCTATGCCACCCAGATCATACCCACCTTGACTGACTTTGGGCCTGGTCATAGAATACCACATACATGAGGTTACAATGATGAAACTTGGTATTTTATGCAACTCAAACATTATATATGAATACAAGCTTAAAAAAAAAAAAAAACCAAGCGGAATCCCTGACCACAGTGCATGAAAGTTGGTCAGAGTTGGTGTGGCAGATTTCCTAAAGCAACACCTCAGCAGGGAAGAAAAACCCCACTTTGGGACAGTTCTTAAATTGCAGAGGTAGCTTTAACAGACACATCGTCAATCCTAATTACGTGCTCCAACACTTGGCTCTGTTGAGATGCATTATTACTTAAACTAAATTTGATCTCTGCTAAATTCATACAAAGGATTTTAATAACAACTCACTATTTTGGGAATGTATAAGGCAAAAAAAAAATGGGGAGTGGGTTTGGGGAAATGAAGTAGACCTAGATATCCCATTAAAAATAACCTACATGAGACAAATACTGCAATCTCCATTGCAACAGGAACATCAGATTACTCTTGTTTAGTCGCTGTATGCACGGCTAGGTCATTGCTGGGTATTATCGCATCCAGCAATTCCTCAAATTAGGTGAGTTAGAGATGGTCATCAAGTGGAACTCTGGATGTCACTAAGGTCTGGGCAAACTTTAACAGAAATAATTGAAGTGCTAGGGATGGAGCTTGGAGAAGCCTGGCAGACATGGCTGTGTACGCATTCCACACACTGCCCATCTTAGGGAGTGCAGACAGGCTCACATGAGTCTCCAGATATTTAAAACAAAGTTAGACGCAGGCAGGTCAGTAAGAAAATGTTCATTCCAACCAAAGAAACACAGCTATTAAAGATTCATGTTTATTACTAAGATTAAACCTTGATAAGTGGCTCAAATCAAACACAGGGAAGCATATCACATGATCGGACCTATTCACACTTTTTGTTTTCACAATTAAAATGAGGTATTGTGGCTTCACAATATTTTAGGATGAATCGTGTGATTTAATCCAGGTTACAAGGAAGAAGAAAAGGGATGTAATTGAACAATCACTTCCTAAAGGGAAAGAAGTCAAGTGAAATATCTATGAAGGTGACAAGCCACAGAACACATTTCAGAGGAGCAAGTAGCATATATGCACAATTTTATCCCTAACCTTAAAATTGGTAAAATTGATGATTATCTCTTAAGTTTAGCAAACCACATGCATTGCAGTATAAATCAAGTAATAGAAGATAAAACGGAATCTCCATTACAGCATTTATCACATACATGAATTATTTGAACTGACCAAGAATTTTTTTAACTATGACAATTTCTGTAATTTTAAATTACTGATCACAGAGGCTAAGTATTACAGTTGGTATACACATAATACAAATAATCCATACACAACCTGAATTTAATACTTATGAATATTGGGGTAATAATTAGTAGCAGCAAGGTAATATTGTTTCTAGAATATGATCTAAGACTTACCATCTTGACACTATAGATCTATAACTGATGTGTTATTAGTGCTATAAACTGATAACAGGTGTGACATTGCAACTGTACAGAGCTGCCAAAGGCCTATATGACTTTTCAAAGTGCTATGCTTCTTAGTGGGCTTGACACTGTGAGCAAGCCTGTGCTATCTGAATTAAGTGTTGGTCCCCATTTCAGGGCTCCAGTTAAGCATAGTGCTAATGCCTGGGTGAGAGAGTAGGAGGCAGAACAATGCGTTGGAGAAGAGTAAAGAGTAACTATCACGACAGTCGGACCGCACCTTCTATCAGCATCTTGTGATGCGGTCACTGGCAGATGACGGGGGACGCTAGTAGACAGGAGAAAGTAGCATTCTGTGAAGGGCATGGGACAGAAGGACAGGAGGACAGAAAATGCCTCTGGACTGTCGATGCAGTCGCCTCAACAGCCTACGCTTCTGAATTCCCCCCAAGGGTGGGAGGGCTTAGTCAAACCATTTTGTTTTAAAATGGGCTTGATATATCCTAAGAACAAGTTTGCTGGAGTTGATGCTAAAACACACTTGATGCGAGAGCAGAATATCCTTATCTCAGGAGATTTTCAACAGTGTCCAAAACTTTACTATTGTTTTTTTTTTTAAATCATTAGCATCATCACAGGGTTGCCTCCGAGTTCGGCTAGCTCAGACATGTGGCCGTTAGTGCCAGTTTTTGGAGCAGAATGCTGGGGGAATCCAAAGGTTGTGGAAATAGGCGGTCTCCTGGGGCAGTAAAGAGCTGATTAGAACCATCTGGAAATAAGGGGAAGTTTACATCGACACCACTTGTTATTCGGTCAGTTCACTCTCCTGTGTCCCAAGGTGATGCTATGGAGTATGAAACCAGGGTACCAATTACAAGGAAGCAGCCTAAGAAGAGGGTTAAGATGTACCAGACAGATCATGGACCAGTCAACTGAGATTTGCATCATTACTAAAGATGAAAGAACCAAGGACAGGTTAGCCCAGGATCAGTTGCTCAGCTAAGGGAGGAGATCTCGAGGCTGTGGCCCATTCATTATCTGGTTCTGTATCCCAGAACTTAATAGACCATTAAGCACATCATAAAACTTCTGTTATGATGTTGTTGTGTAGCCCTTTTGCTTCTTAGAGAAGACAGCAATGTCCTTTCAGCCTGAATTTCTTCTGGGTCTTCACCTTTCACTCTGTGCTAATGGCCGGGCTGTATCATGCCTCTTTGGGATTGCTTCCTACTGGTAAGACTGAAGAAAAAAAAACCCACATGGATATCCCAATACACCAGAAAGCTCCATTTAATCTCAGACTGCTCCACTTCGTTGCCTTCTTGAATAGAAGCATACATTTCGAATGTGAATATGAAGTTATGAAAGACCTGAGATTCTTAAGGTTTGTCATTACCTCTGCTCAGATCTTGTGCTTTTCTTTGCATGTATATAAAATCCTGGATTTGAACTCTTAGTAACTATTCTAAAAAATTCAAGGGATTAGACCCAGCACTAAAGAAAATAATGAGTATCAAATCTCAAGCAGCAAATATGAGCATTTTTTTTGCATGATTTCTAAGACTGCCATGATGTCAGACCAAATCCTGAAACACTCATCAGTCCCTTCCATCACGTCTACCCTGAGATCTCTCTTCAGTCCTAAGAACTCTCTCTCTATCCCTAACAGACATGGAACTTGAGCAGTTCAGTGTTCAAGCTTTGAGTTTTAACCATCAGAAACCTAGCATGTCTGGCCCATCAAGGAAACTGGGCCGTGCTGGAATGATGCAGAAAGCGCATGAAGAACTCGGTTCAATTTCTAAAGGGAAATGGCCCCCAATTCTGTGAAACTAACAAGCTAACAAAGCAGCATTTTAGTTGCTCTTGACATTGATTCTGAACAATTGTGAGAGCCCGATTTTGATCTGAATGATTGCCAGGAATTTTGAGAACACGTGACATGTGGGGGTCAGAATTCTTACTGGTAACTATTGCAGAATGAGCCATGGGAACTAAATTCTGTTTATTCTGTCCATCTCACCCGAGATTCTACCTGGTCTCCAAGGAACAGGATACATGCAGCCTTTACATCATTGGAAGCCTTTGTCTTGGGGCAGAGATTTGAATAATTACCAGGGAAAACTGTGAATAACCCTCCCCCTTACCCCTCAGACTTTCAAAATGTCAACAAGGCCAAGACCCTAAAGCAGCATGGAGGAGCTAGCGCATGTGCTCACTACAGGAGCAGGGGCCATACACGTGGCCGTGGGAGTGTCCTGTGCTTCTGTGTTTTGTTTGACGGTGCAGCATGCAAATACTGGGGTGCACGTGCATGTCCTAAGTGAAGTACAACTGTGCATTGAAGAACAAAAGGAAAAGACGAAGTAAACGATTCACTGAACAGTCGACAGCCTTAAAGTGAACTGGATATCTGGTGCAGATACCCACTGACACGTCGGAGCCCCGTAGCACCAAGCACCTGGACAAAGCTGCGGCTCCGCTAAAACAGAGCAGAGTGGCTCTCCTCTGTCTCCTTATCTCCTTGCCAAGTAACAAAGGGTTAATGGATGGAGAACGACCTAGACCCCGGTAACTGATTGAAAATTAAGACCAAACGAACAAACAAAATGCAACAAGAAAAAGAGAAAGAAAAACCTGAGGGTAGGTCAAGGTTCTCAGAGCTTCTTTGAGAGGCTCAGTATCATAATTGGAGGGCCATTAAGACGACGAGGGTACATACTCCTATGCAATGAAGAAGCCCGGTGCAGAGAAGAAGGCTCCACCAAATTTGACAAGATCATTCTGGAAGCCTCCTCTGGGATGGATTAAAATTCAAGAACAAGGGGAAATTAAACCAGGTTTTCCCAGAGGCCTTTGTGCTGTGGCCTCCATGGACTATGGAGATTACAAAGTCAAGGCCTAAATTACTTTAGGAAGAAAAAAAGGCCAGATGAAAAAGAGTGATGGGCGTGCATGTGTTTTCAATAGCTTGCTCAAGATCTCCTCACTGCAGTCAGCATGCACAACCTAACTAGGAAGCCAAAGGATAGATATGAGAGCTCCTAGGAGAGGGTCCAGCAGTCTCTGTAAATGCCCACTCCCCCCACACCTCAGAATTGCCTGTTTATATTCCTCCTTAGGAACCTGGAATCTGACATCTCCTCAGGGATTCTCAGGTAGGGCTGAGGGGTATCAAAGCATGTCTGTGCTCAGCTGTTCTTCCTAGCGCCTCTCTTTCCAGTGCTCTATAGAAGTGCCCATGTAGTTTTTCATGACCCTTTCCCTTCTGTCCCAGTGTATGCCTTCGGCAGTGGCTTCCTGGATCGGGATCTCATCCATACCTATACACCATCCTCAGCAGGATTTGGGGTAGGGTAGGACCTCTACAGCAAAGTCCAAGATCACTCACAGCCCTGAGATGCACCATCCAGTGCGTGGGTGGAAGACCACAGCAGCATCCATCTTGGGTAGGAAAAGTCCAGTAAACATCTGTGTGAGTGCTCTTGAGGCAAGAAACATTGCAGATGCTTGCTCTCTGAATAAATAATGAATAAATACAGAAAACAAAGGAAACAAAAGAGGGCTCTTATCAATTAAAAAAAAACCACTTCTTATCAATTAAAAAAAAGAAATCCCCTCTTGAGTTTCCAAGCCCTCGCGCAGAGGTGGCTAGTTGGCGGGATGATCCACAGAAAAAAGACCAAAGGGAAAAACAAGCGGAAATGTTCCAGCATTGCTTTTTTTTTTTTTTTTCCTCACTTGACGATATACAAGTCACCCTACATATCCCCGAGGTAGTCTCGTTTGCGGGGTTACAGACTGGCTCCGAACCCGCTTGGAACTGTCTCCTTTAACGCCATTGCACATTCCCACACATCCTGTGTCAGCCTCCAGTGTGTCACGGACAAGCAGCCTTCGGGTTAGCGTTGTGTCCGCTTAGCATTGTGTCCCGCAGCAGACCAGGTCCCAGGCAGACAACCATCAAAGACTGATTCCAGTGCCGGCTTGAAGACCTCGCTCCCAAGAAGTCTGTGCCAAAGGGACGCAGGGACTTTCCCGATAGTCACTTGGGGAGAAAGCTACAGGATTAAATCAAAGAATTCTGGCATGCAGCAAACATGCACATTTAGCTCCTGTTGGGCCCTCACACAAATGATTCCCCACCACCATTCCTTTCATTTTAAAGAGGGGGCCCAAAAGGAAATGAAAAGAATCAATACTTTAAGTCAGGGAAATACAGTTCTGATGCCAAGGGTAGTGTGCACTGTTTACATGAAAACTTGAGGGGACCACTTCCGGAGCCAGCCTGTGGCTGAACAGTGTGGTAATAAACAGGTCTTGCTCTCGTACAGAAGTGGTGATATTGTACAGTTCAAGAGAGAACCTGGAGCTTGGCTTCCTAGGAGCCCCTCAGAGTTCTTGGTTAATGGCAAAGACCTCCCAGAGGGTGGTCTATGACTGCATGCGCCATTGCTGTTCTTCTGACCAGGAATGCCTTTCCGATTTAGTCTTCACACAGGCTCAAATGCCCCCAGAAGACGATAGGAAGCTGGGTCATTTAAGATGTTGCATAGCCCATGGAATCAGGAAACCATACTTCCGCCTTCTATTTGCCACCATAAGCCACTGGGGAGATCCTGACCTTGACCATATAAAATACGCATTCTTCCCTTAGACTTAAATTTTTAAAAGTCTCATTTAGGGAAATGCAATGAAAATCCCCAGAGTTTTATCCAAATAGCTACGTGAGGAAAGGGGGAGGGCCCTCTTTCTCTTCCTCACTTCTCCAGGACTGACCAGCAGTGAGCCTTCCTAACTGGAACCTTCGAGAATCCTACCTTAGCTCAACAATCTCAACATCAAATTAAACAAAGCATCAATTCAACACTTAGTCAGAGCTCGGTCCTCTAGAAGGTCATTCAACTCAATCACGGTCGTGGCAAAGTCCACCAGGTCCACGAAGTCAGATGTGATGATGTTGACACCCATGGCTCCAGGCTTTTGAGTCTTCACCCAGTCGAGGATGGCAGGGAGATTCCTACATGGAGAAAGTATTGGGTGAAAAGAAAACAGATGGACAGCAGTGGTTAGAACGACAATTCCAGAAATGGAAATAAAAACCTTTTCCTTACCACAAAAAAAAAATATATCAGAAACACACAAGCCCCTGGGGCTCCTCTCACTTACGTTCCCGGGCATGTGGAACCAGCATTCCACTGGAGAACTCACATCTCCAAGGTTTCTCTCATGCAAGAGACAATATACTCACAGTATCAGAAAGACAGCCATGTTAACAAGATCTCACAACACCGAGTTGAACAGTTCTCTTATTGTTAGGTTCTCAGGGCTCTTCATGAAAAAATTCAAACATACAGCAAACTGATAGAATTTTTGTAGTGAGTGGATCCACCACTTATCCCTTACCATTAACACTTTACTATTTTGTTTGCCACATACCTATTAATGCATCTCTGTCTTCCTATCAATGCTGCTTCTAGTTTTGACATACTCCACTTGGAAACATACATAAAATCCCTTACATACGTCAGCATGCATGTGATTAATTGCATTTTTTCTTTTTATAGTACCATATAGTATTCCATTGTATGGCTACAACATAGCTTATCCATTTTCCTACTATTAGATATAGCAGTTGTTTTTAATTTGGGGTCATTATGAAAAAACTAATATGGGCATTCTTCTATGAGTCTTTTTATGGGCATCACATTATTTTTCTTGGATAAAAATCAAAAAACAAAACTGGTCTACGATAGGAATTTGTTTATATTTAGTTTTATAGGAAACTGCCAGACTTTTCTTCAAGAGGACCGTTCCACTTTGAAGTCCCACAGGCCAAGGAGAGAAGCTCTGGACAGTTACTACTATCCCTAAAAATTGGTGCCACAAGTGTTTTGTAGGCTTGTCATCCCAAAGGAAGTGTGGTGACTCATGTCTGTGACCCAAGCACATAGAAGGCTGAAGCAGGAGGATTGATGGGAATGTAGATTCGCCACTTGTGCTCCTTCTTTTTACAAATATCTATCCAACACTTTGACAACTTTTTCCCACTTAGTTTTCAAACTTTTTTTTGTATTTTCATTCAATCTCTGAGGGTTTCATGCAATGTATTTTGATAGCATTTGCCTTTTCTTTTTTTTTCTTTTTTTCTTTTTTTTTTGATTTTTCAAGACAGGGTTTCTCTGTGTAGCTTTGCGCCTTTCCTGGAACTCACTTGGTAGCCCAGGCTGGCCTCAAACTCACAGAGATCCACCTGCCTCTGCCTCCCGAGTGCTGGGATTAAAGGCGCGCGCCACCACCGCCCGGCCCTTTTCTTCTTTTAAATGTTGAGCTTAAGAAATTAATTTTACATCCTGGATTAACTTTCCTTTTGTCATAAATATTTTACAAATATTTCTTCTGTCCTGTAGATTGCCTTTAATTTTCTCAATGAAATATTTTGATGGGCCTGAATTCCTTAATTTTGAGGGAGTGTAATTTGTCGATTATTTTTTCTTTTTCTTTAAAAAAATTGATATGTCCTTATGAGGGGATGTGCATGTGTGTGTGTAGAGGTGTTCACAGAATCTAGAAGGAGTTGGATCCCCCAAAGCTGAACCTGGTACTCTGCTGAGTCACCTTTCCAGTAAGTACTCTTAACCACCAAGCAATCTCTCTAATCCCCCATCATTATTTTTTAATTTCTGTTATTTTTTTTTAAGAAACTCATTTACTTTCAATTCCCAAAGATTTCTTCCCATGTTTTCTGGAAGCTTCGGGTCTTCTTCACCCTTATTTTACTCTCTAAAGCTATTGGAAGTTGTGGTAGTTCGAATGAAATTGGTCCCCATAATCTCAGAGGGGGTAGCACTATTATGAGGTGAAGCTTTGTTGGAGTGGGTATGGTCTTGTTTTTTTTTTTTTTTTGGTTTTTCGAGACAGGGTTTCTCTGTGTAGCTTTGCACCTTTCCTGGAACTCACTTGGTAGCCCAGGCTGGCCTCGAACTCACAGAGATCCGCCTGGCTCTGCCTCCCGAGTGCTGGGATTAAAGGCGTGTGCCACCACCGCCCGGCAGGGTATGGTCTTGTTATAGGAAGTGTGTCACTGTGGGGGTGGGCTTTGAGGTTTCCTATGCCCAGGATACTGCTCAGTGTCTCAGTTGACTTCCTGTTGCCTGCAAGATATAGGACTCTCAGCTACTACTCCAGCACCACGTCTGCCTCCATGCCTCCATGTTCCTTGTAATGATGATAATAGACTGGACCTGAAACTGTAAGCCAGCTACCCCTATTAAATGTTTTCTTTATAAGAATTGCCATGGTCATGGTGTCTCTTCACAGCAATAGAAACCCCAAGACAGCAGTCAATTTTTGCAGAAGACATAACATAAGGGTCAGGGTTTACTTTCCACACAGATAGTTAACCCAGTACTGTGCACGGCCCCTCAACAGACTAATATTTAATCATCTGTCTCTTGACTATAGTTGCTGGGGCTTTTTTATAAACAGAAGGCTTCCGATGCTACAGAGGCTCAGAGCAGATGACGTCAACATCACTTTTAATCCAATGTGACCTAAGTGTGAGGAACACGGAAGAGCAGAAGAGAGCAACCAAGGCCACTCGCTGTCTGGCATCACGGTAAACACAGCTCAGCTCACTAACGATGCCTCAGCAAAGGAAGGTGGAAACTGGCTTACATTTGATGGTGGGACTAGGAATTCTTCGTGTTGGGTTTGCTCTGGCTAACATCGATGGCCCCTTGTCTTCTATTACTCATGCCCTCTCTGGTTGTCACTTACCCCAGTTCTACTCTCCTTTGAAGCTGTCCTCTCTTCTGCCTCGTGTACCCCCCACCCCCTGCTTTGTCTTCTAGAGTGATGTTTACACTTAGGCTGCATTTTTCTACCTCCTCTTTCTTCTTGTCTTACGGTCATCAACTAAGTTCTTCTCTCACTCAGTGGGATCCACAGTCTACCACAGGCTAAAAAGAAAAAGTCTTATAGATCAATTTACATCTTTATTTTAACAGCTGCTTGTGACTCACGATTGCTCTCCCTTTTTTTGCTGGGACTCTTGAAGATCTTAATGTACTAAAATTCCTCGTCCCTCTGCTCCACTTCCCTGTGAAACAGGATGCATGGGAAAGATAGTACCATAGATAGTAAGCGTTCCGTGCCATGCCGGCTTGGCGCATGCGTCATGTATTTGGCCAAGGAAAGGGGATCAAAAACGAATGAGTAAAAAAAGTAGAGAGAGAAAGATTTGGGGAGCAGGAGTGAGAAAATTCCTTCATACGTCCACACAACGAAATGTTGGGAAGAGGCGTTGAAGACACAGAACCCTGTTAGAGACAAAGACCAATGGTTCACAGCACTAAATGAAGGACACTGGTGGGGGTGATGAGCCTGTTACGTTCATGGTTTCAGAACAGCCTCCGTCAGTGTCTATGTTTGGAGATCCTGCGCCATCTGCTGGTCATTCTGGGGAAATACTTGACAGCCTGGAGGCACCCCACCACCACTCTCATTGAGCAGCACCTTGGAGGATTCCAGGAGTCTGCATGGAGCTTTGGGGAAAAGCTAAGTAAGTACCTGTGGTCTCCAGGGACAAAGAGGTCTGTGTCAGCTTTGGGTTGCATGTGTCAAGCTTCCCCAAGGCCAGTATCAGATGAACCGGATGACGTAAGGGGAAATGTAGAACCCACTGGCATTGACCCGGAAGGGAGATCGCTGCAGAAGGCTGGGCCAGGTATTGCCGACAACAATCCCACAGGCTGGAGCACTCGACTTAAAGCTTCCCTTTGACCTTGAGGCCACCTCAAGACAGGGTTTCTCTGTAGCTTTGGAGCCTGTCCTGGACTAGCTCTGTAGACCAGGCTGGCCTCGAACTCACAGAGATCCACCTGCCTCTGCCTCCCGAGTGCTGGGATTGCAGGCGTTCGCCACCACTGCCCCGGCCACCTCATTTCTTTACCAGTCATTGTGACAGGCATTTTCAGACTATGGTCCCATGAGCTGTTATTTCCCAGTGGTGCAGAAAAGCACAACCCAGTGACCTCAAGAACTTGTGCAGGGTCACCCTGTCACCCAGAGCACTGTGTCAGCTCGATTGGGCTGCTGTAACAACACATACAGTAGTGACTTCAAATAACTGAAGTTATTTTCTCCTGTTCAAGAGATTGCTAGCCCAAGATTAATGCTGCTGGGCTGGGCTTTATCTAAGGTTTTTATTCTTGGCTTGGAGGTGATTTCCTCCTCCCCTTATTTTACCCCCTCCCTTCCCCTTCTCCTTCCCCCCACCTCCCCACCCACTGCACCCCTGTGATATTTTCTCTGTGTGCATACACAGATCTCTGTGGCCTCTTTGCTTTTGGTTTGTTTGTTTTTGGAGAGAGTACCATATATTCCAAGAGGACCTTGAATGCCTGCTCATTGCCTCCCAGAGTCATAGGATTACAGGCCTGTGCCATGCTCAGCTTCTATTATTGTCTCTTCTTGGTTTAAATTTCCTTCGGACTTCAGTGAGAACGCATTAGGACCCACCCTAAAGGCCTTTCAACATAATTACCTCTTTAAAAGCCAATTCCTCCAAATACACTCAAATTCAGAGGCAGCAGGATTAGGGTTCTATTCTATTTGATGTTGCAGGATATTTGTTTATACTGTGTGAAGATGTGTCACTGTGATTACCTAATAAAGAGCCGAATGGCCAATAGCTAGGCAGGAGAGAACAGGGGGGATTTCTGAGGAGAGAGAGGAACCCAGGATGAATCTAAGAGCCTGAGAGACGTCAGCGAGACATGAAGGAAGTCAGACATACAGAATGGAAGACAGGTGAAAATCTACGTGACAGACATGGATTACTAGAAGTAGGTTTACATTATACGAGCTACTTGAGAATAAGCCTAAGCTAAAGGCCAAACTTTCATCATAAGTCTCCATGTCACTATTGGGGGGTTGGCAGTCCCAAAGAAAGTTCGATAAGAAAGCTTGCTACAATTTGAGACAAATTGGGGCTCACTATATAGGGCTGGGTGGCCTCAAACTCACAAAGATCTGTCTGCCTCTACCTCTGGAGTGCTGGGTCTAAAGGTATGCACAACCACACTGATTGGGTTAGGATTTTAATTCAGGGATTTGGGAAGAGGAAGCATAGTTCATGACCTTAATAGGGACCCTTACAGGCTTCAATCCTGGGCCTCCTGACTCAGTCCTTGTCCCCTTCCAGAGTTCCAGTGGCCATCTGGTACTCAGTCTTAGACAAAACTCACCTGCATTTGATTTCACTGTGAGTACTACGGATTTGAATTCCAGGTTTCTCCCAGTCTAAACCAGATCAGAAATTCAGTTTAAATGGGTGGTGTATGTTTGTGGCTTCTTTCCAGGATGATGAACCAATGTGAACAGAATCTCATACGCAAAGTTCAACTGAGAATTGGGGATTAGCTTCCCACTGAGAAAATTACCTCCAGCAGTAGGAAGACACTCTCAGCCTTCTCTGGGTTTGAGCTGCTGATCAGTGCTGGGATCAGCTAGACAGCTCCCCTGTGTGGTTAGCTAGATAGGACAGTGTCTTGGGGTGCTGGTGCTGGGGGCGGGGTGGGGCTATGATTACTCAGTGGTAAAATGACAGTCATGTGATTGGCTGACACTTGGGAACAGATTCCTGACCAGAGCCCTGTTTCTCTTTCCAGTTGATGTGCAGGCACAGAAATGTAGGGCCACACCCCTAATACTCCCATGACCAGAAAGGTAGCTTCTATTTAAGGGACACATTCGCACTACCAGCAAGGAGATCTTGCCTTTGGGCTCATGCTCTCTTCATTATAACTAAATAAGGGAGGCTGGGATTCATGGGCAGCCAGATGGAAGAAGCATCAAAGTATAATGATATGTGGGTTAACCAGTGTGAACTGACGAGATCCTGGCACTGCTAACTCAGTCGTGGGCTTGGGACCACCAAGGAACAGGACACAGGCACCATCTCTGCTCACACTACACAGGCTGAAGTCCAGCAGTCCCGACAGACTCTTGGCTCTTGGAAGCTCTGTGGGGCTGGATCACTTAGTTTCCCTGAGTACTGTCCTACCTGAGCACAGAAAGTCTCTTAGATGGTGGCCCCTTCTCCCCTTCAAGAGGCTGGCCTGGGTTTAAGAATCATATTAAATCATTTGCAAAAGAGGCATCCTTTTATTTGGAATAAAGGACTTATCCTTAGTCTGAAATGGTCTCTTAGGACAGCTGCGCCCACAGATTTGCAGTGGAGTGGTCTTCACACAGCTCTATAGAAATGTTCGTGTCAATTTCTGCTGAAAGACTGTCCACCGGGCAGGGGCTACAGACTCATCTCTGTCTCTACACCTGCCTCTTCCTAGCTACTCTTTCTGTTTTTCTTGAAATTTCAAATTTTATTGAATGAAAAAATAAATAATGTTAAGCTGCAAATTTACCAAAAGCATGAGGAAAATGGAATGGGAACATGAACCTATAATATGTGAAAAAAGTTGATAATTCTAGGTCCTTTAAAGATACCACACTTGTTTAAGTTTTGTTTTTTTTAAGTCAAACATGGTAGCTCACATTTATAATCTCAACACTCTTGGAGATTGAGGCAGGAGGATTAGTCAGTCAGTTTGAGGCCAGCTTGGGCTCCAGAGTGAGATCCTATCTCACTTTACCATACCCTCGACTCCTCCTGCCCCACCCAAGCACACAAAGAGGATGACCATATAGCCTACTCATAGCCTCTCCTGGCTTTGAACTCCCAATCCTCTTGCCTCAGCTTTCCAAGTGCTGGGAACTGCAGGTGTGCAGCACCATGGCCAGCCTATGGGATTTTTTGTTTGCAGTAGAAGACAGTTTATTTGGTTGAGACTTGGAAGAGCTGCATAGAAAGGAACCTCTTGTTCTGTCCATGGTTGACATTGTCAGGAGTTTTCAACAGGAAGGAAGATCATGGTTGTTGCTTGCCTTTTAAACTCCTGACTAAGCATATGGCTATTATCTGAAACCGCAGTCAGCTGCATGAGTAGTAACAGGATCACCATGGCGTGTGTCATCAAGAAAACACACAGTGACATTGTCTCTGAGTGCTTGTCATAGTATCAAAATACAGTGAGTATCTATGGAATAAGGCGAACATTTTAGTAAAGTGTCCCAGGATTCTTTGGGCACTATTCATGTATGTAATCCTAAAATCCACAACTTTTCAAAACAGTATATGCTATAAGTGGTTTTTTGTTTGTTGTAATTATCCGAGTCTAGAGTGTTGCTGTTGTGTGCTCAAAATAAAATCAAGATAAATGTTGTGTGTGTGTGTGTGTGTGTGTGTGTGTGTGTGTGTGTGTGTGTGTTTTCATGTTCACTTGTGTTTGAGTGCATGTGTTGTCTGTGATTGTCTGGGAGGCCAGAAGACAACCGTGGCTATCTGAAGCATGACCCTAATCAGTCTTAACCATAAAGACCTAGAGTCGGATATCAGGGTGAAAGCTGAAAGATCAGAGAAGGAGAGCAGCAGCCACTTAGAGACTTCTTACCTCTACAAAATCTCAGATCAAATAGGCGAGATCCTGTCTCTTCCTGTCATATATTCCTGTCTCCACCTCCCTAGTGCTGGAATTAAAGGTGTAATCCTCCCATGTGCTGGGATCAAAGGTTTGAGCCTCCCATGTGCTGGGATCAAAGGTTTGAGCCTCCCATGTGCTGGGATTAAAGGTATGCACCACGACCACCACCACTGGCTCTGTTTCTCTTTAGGACTGATTCATTCTCTTGTAGCCCATGGTGGCCTTGAACTCCTTATCTTCATGCTTCCTTCTCCCAAGTGCTGCGATTAAAAGTTTGCTACCACTGCCTGGCCTCTATGGTTAACTTGATCTCCAGACAAGTTTTATTTGTCAGAACACAAACAAAATATCATATAACAGCTGTCATTCTTCAGATTTCATCCATTTTGTTTCAGACAATCTCTTACTGGTTTGGAACTTGCCAAGTAAGGAAGGTTTGCTGGCCAGTAAGCCTCAGGCATCCAGCTGTTTCTGCTTCTCCAGTGTTGAGAGTCTGGGATCATGTGGGTTCACTGTGCTCAGAGTTGTTTTTGCATGGGTTCTGGAAATTTAACTCAGATCCTCAAGCTTGCAAAATAAGAACTAAGATATCTTCATAGCCATGTGTGTGTGTGTGTGTGTGTGTGTGTGTGTGTGTGTGTGTGTGTGTGTGTTCAAACGTCTTCTGGAGGTGGGGCTAGGTATGTGAACCTATAATTCCAGTATCAGGGAAGCAAGTCAGGAAGATTATGAGTTCAAGTCCAGCCTGAACTGTCTTAAGAAACCAACCAAACCAACCAACCAACCAACCAGTCAACTAACCAAACCAATCAATCAACCACCACTACCACCACCAACAAAACAATAACATAAACCCTACCTGTAGGGTGAAGCCATCTCTTACCTGTGAACTAGTGTGTTCTTGAGACCCCCCACCAGACCTCGGGCAATGGTCTTCACTCTTGGGGTGAGGATGGCCTGGGAGACATGGAAGGCCCCACGTGGGGCTCGCTCACTCAGGGTGGTCTCCAAGAAGAGGATCAGTTTTTGCACGCTTGTGGTGTTTGCCCAGGGTGCTGGAATTTTCTTTCCTGGCCACAGGAATGGGTATTGCTTGTAGAAGGGGCAGTGGTAGAAAATGAGAACCTGAAAGGTTCAGAGCAGGAAAAGGACAGCAACATTTAAAAGCTGAATATTTAAACGGAGTGGGGGGCAGTGGGGAGCAAGGTGGGGAGGGGTAGACAAATATGCTCAGAAGTGACAGAATTGTTCCTGTAAATTGAAATTTAAATAAAGCCACATCTCTGTGCAAGATTTTATGGTGCTGAATGACAGATTATAACTTCATATTGTGGAAAGTTAGAATGTTCAAGTCAAGAGTCGCATTACCTTGGGCTAGCTTTGATCCTCTCAGTAGCTGTTCATTGCTCACACCTACACCACACCTAACATCCTTTTGACTATTTAAAGCCTTTGACATGTATTCGTAGCAGACCGCCAGCTTCCAAGAGCAAAAATATACACAGACTGCGTCTGAAAGCTACAGTAGTTCTCCTGCTATAACCCGCCTACGTGTGGTACCCACCAATGTTGATGAATGCGTTGCTGTGTGGCTTTCTTTAATTTTCAGGCTAGTCAAACCTCACCTGATCATTTCCACAGTGCACATGTCCTTCCAGGCCACCTGACTCTGTGTTCCCAGCCCTTTCCTAGTTGGCTTACAAATAAACTATTTCTTATTCTCTTTGAGGTGAGAGCTGTATTTTACACAGATAGTTTTTCTCTTTTTATTAGATGTATTTATTTATTTTTACATGGCAGAGGGATGGGGTGGCAACTTTTGGGAGTTAGTTCTCACCTTCAACCAAATGGGACCTCGGAATTTAATTTAGTTCATCAGTCTTGGTGGCATGCCTTAGCCACTGAGCCATCTCATTGCCCCTATAGATTATTTTTTAAAAATAAACAAACTAGCATTTACTGAGAACTTGCTGTCTAATTCAAAGGTGGCCTCCTTTTTGGCTTTGCACATAGTATAAGCACCTTCTCACAGTGGTGTCTTAAATAATGCACAAAACAAACAAGATTATAAAGGAAATTGACATGAAATGAAGGCATTATACCTATTCAAATAGCAAATATATTTGTAGGAAATTAATGTAGAGCCTCATGATAAATGCATAAAGTTATTTTGATAAGAGTCTAATAAGCTCCATTAACTATGGGTTAGTGATGAGCATGAATGGTATTATTAAGACAATCTGCAGAGAACATGACATGGCCATATCTCTGAGGATAGTTGACAGGCAAGGCCAACCCTGCAGAAGTGGGTTACTATTGCCAGCATGCATGACTGGTGGCCACGTGGACTCAAGGTGAGTAAAAGTAAACATGTAGGTTTTTGTTGTGGTTATTTTGTTTGCTTGTTTGTTTTAATCAACCAGACACAGCCTTATTAAATTCCATCCCATGCTCCCTGGGAAGTCTCTAGATCCCGGCTGAAACCACGCATATAGTCCAGAAATCATGTTTCCTGTGCTCATGGCATTGACCCTTTGCTCTTGGAGTTTAGATAAACACTGTGAACTCATTTGTGAGTGAATAGATTTTCATTTGTGTGCACTGACTCTGATGAAATTACCCTTCCCAGGGGAGGAAACCAACGTGCCACTAAGCGTCAGGGAAGACTTTACCGAGGCCATGGCCCTCCAGTGGGGCCACTCGAGATGGTGGTAATTTTGAAAATAATTAGCAAGCTATATCCACAGCATTAATTAGTTTCTGGGAGGCAGCTGGGGGACAGAGAATTGCTCTTCTGATTGTCCCAATTGCAAGCTCTGCTGCATGGCTTTCTAGAAGAGCTATATTTTTCCCCTTAGGGGCACGGGTGAGCTCTTCCCAGAGGAATGCCCAGCTCATGTTTACACTGGACTATAATCTACAGAGTTGTCCTCCAGGCACTCAGGAGCAGGGATTCCACATGCTCATCTCATTTCCAGTGTGTTCAGGTGCTGATGAAGGCGACTTGACCTTCTGAAGGCCCAGAGGCAGAGAGTGCCAGGCAGGGGGCTGCAAAATGGGGTAATGTCTACCCTCCTGGTTCTTAATGGTTCTGAGTAATGCTGAGCACTGATGATGTCTATAGTAAACTCGAGTGTTAATGAGGTTAATCACAGGCTCACTGTAAGCAGATTGCTGGGGAGAGCCCAAGATCTCCTCCTGGCATGTAACTAGCTGGTTTGGAAGCCTGAAGCCTGGAAGGAGAGCTGCCCTGGGCAACGGGCTGGGGGTAGGGGATGGGCAGGAGGCTGGGCAGCCCTGTGACAGGCCCAGCAGGTGGTACCCAAGACACCTGCCCCTGGGCCTGCTTCTGTGCACTAGAGGACAGTAATAACTTGGCTCTGCCCCAGAAAAAAATGTGTATTCAATACAAATTACACAAAAGGAGCTTTTTGTCCTTGTCCTCCCCCCCCCCCCCGGGGGGGGGGGCTTCTTGGGCAGTCTGATCTGAGGGTTGGCTGGCAGGGGAAGAGGGTGGAGAATCTCTGCTGACAGCGGGAGGCTGGCTGGTAAACCTACGCCCAAGGCCCAGGTTACAGAACATGGGTGCAAGAACACTCACGGAGCTTGTTCAGAGCACCTCCCTCCCTGGCTCACTGAGCTGCTTTCCTGTGAAATATCTCCCCTCCAGCTCAGCAGTTTGTGTTCAGCTTTTCTCTTGAGACTAAGATGGAAAATCTCATTTCCTTTAAGAACAGTCCCTCGGGTGACCTCTTCTTAACTGTGGTGGTTGCTTTAGTGGGAGCCTCTGGGATGCAGATTCATGGCATGCTCTATTTTTCAATGTATTACAAAACCCCTTTCTTCATACCATACAGAACACCGGACACAGTCTTATCCTGCAACTGCATATTGATCATTTTGTCTATTATTATCTTGAACTGATAAATTATGTTTAGTACTTATTATTATTATTGTCTTCAGATGTGTGCATACCATGGCACACATGGGGACATCAGAATATAACTCTCAGGAGTTGGTTCTCTCCTTCCAATATGGGTTCTGGGGGTTGAACTGGGTCACTAGGTTTTCACAGCAAGTGCTTTTAACCCTGGAGCCATCCTGCTGTCCTTTGGTTTGGGATTTTTTTTTTTTTCGAGACAGGGTTTCTCTGTGTAGCTTTGCGCCTTTCCTGGATCTCGCTCTGTAGACCAGGCTGGCCTTGAACTCACAAAGATCCACCTGCCTCTGCCTCCCAAGTGCTGGGATTAAAGGTATGTGCCACCACCGCCCGGCTTGGTTTGGGATTTTTGAGACAGGTCCTGCTACATAGCCCTATCTGGCCTGGAACTATATGCTATGTAGATCGAATTTAGAAGAAGTTCTTGTCTCAGCCAAAGTGCTGGGATCACAGGTGTGTGCCACCGTGTTCAGCTTGATGGTTCTGTAGTTCACTAGAGTTATGTATTTCTTCCCTTTTCATTAAGATCATAAATACTTCCCAACTGTAGGCCAAGCCCTCTAATTCACTGTGCCCTTAAAGCCTTATCTACTAAAGTATGCAGATATAATCTGTGAGCTGTGACATAGTCACATGTGGAGTAAATGAAATGTGACTGGTAGGACCGCACTTCCTGATATTAAATTCCAGTAATAAAATACCCCGGGGGGGTATGTGCAAGGCAGCTCATTACACAATGAATATTTAAAGCCTGACCATAAGTGTGACACAGCCCCAGCATGGGGCCAATGACTAGTGGCTCCTTTTGAGTGCTCTTATTTCAGCTGTTAAAGAGATGTGACAGGAGAAGCAGGGATCGGGGGAAGACACAGAATTTAAATGGCAACATTTTCCTTTTCTCTAATACATCATTCCAATCTCTTTCTCCCATAACTAGACTATTTGTAGTGGATAATGCAGCTAAGTGTGTGCGTGTGTGTGTGTGTGTGTGTGTGTGTGTGTGTGTGTGTGTGTGTGATATATGGTATATGCACTTGTTTATGTGTAGGTCAGAGGCCAACAATCAGGGTTCAGTTCTCTATTTCTACCCTGTGTGTCCTAAGCTCAAACTCATGTTATGTTATTGGGGTTAGCAGCAAGTTCCTCTAGGTGCTGAATCCTCTTCTGTTCCCTTATTTTTTGGGACAGAGTCTCTAGGTAAATCTAAAGTGCTATTTAGCCAGACTGGCTGACCAATGACTTTCAGGGACCTGCCTGTTAATATCCGCCAATCATCCAGAATATCCTCTGTGTACCAAATTATACAATGTTAACTGACCTCATATTTAACCTTACCTGATCCCCCCATTCAAATGCCATCCCCCTTTTCTCAATGGTAATGGTCTGGGACCCTTTCAGAATAGGTTCTTAATGAAAAGAAAGTGGTTTTTGTTTCACAACATGAGAAAGCAGTTGTGAAAATCATCAAGGCCTGTGGTGAGTCCTCAGAGAGCAGCAGGAGCTATGGAATACTAGAGAGGAACCAGCCAGTGAAGGAATCCTGACCCACACCCCTTCCTCTTGGTGCTTCCTTGGCAAGTTGCTTCAATCTCTCCATTCCTCACTTTTCCCATCTGTAAAATGGGGGACAATAACAAATGCCTATCTCAGGGCTGGGGATTAAGCTCAGTGGTAGAGTGTTTGCATAGAAAGCACAAGGCCCTGGGTTTGGTCTTCAGCTTTGGGTGGGGGTGGGAGTGGGGGGGTACAAAATAGCCAATGCCTATCTCATAGTGTTGTTGAGAAGATCAAAGAAGTTAATCTTGCACACTCTGGTGTATTAATAAAACCAAGTTGGTATTTAAAGAGCTCCAGGCAAGTCTGGACTGCAACATAGTGAGACTCCATGACAAATAAACAAACAATTAAACCTGTGAGTCTGAAGAGTATTAAACTTGGTCATAGGAGACAGATGCCATAAATATTTGGAAAAAAAATCACTTATACTTGGAGCTCAAACAAATGTTTGTAAACAGATAACTGACATAATTTCAAAATACGAAGTTCTTCTTTGAGTCACATGTTTCTTTTTAAAATATTTATTTATTTGTGTGTGTGTGTGTGTGTGTGTGTGTGTGTGTGTGTGTGTGTGTGTGCCTGTGAGTATATACACGTGAGCCTTGCATACACACTGAGGCCGGGGCAGAACACCAGAGTCCTCTGTCACTCTTCACCTAACCCTTTGAGACAGAGTCTTTCCCTGAACCTGAGACTCGCATTTTCTTGGCTAAGTTGGAAGCTCACAAGCCCCAGTGACCCGCCTGAATCCCCGCTCTTGGAGCTGGAGCTCTAACCATTTGTGGAGGACATGTGGCTTCTGATGCTGGGGCTGGGATTAGAACACCTGTCCTCATTATTGCAGAGCACATGCTTTTAACTGCTCAGACATCTCTCTAGCCCCCCACAAACACTTCTTCAATAAACTTTTCTTAAGACCAGGGATGTGGCACAGTGGTAGAGCTGCTTGCCTAGCATATAGAAAGAACGGAGGTCCTTCTCCAATATTAAAAAAAAAAAAAAGACATTTTTCTTATTGTACTTAATGAGACAGGAACAACTCTGAATGAATGCATACTTTTTTTCTTGAAGAAAGTTTAAATCAGAGGCTGTCCATTCCTAAGGCTCTTGTTTGCTGCTGCCACACCTTGGTATCAGAGTGGAATGTTTCTGAGACCTATCCTTTTACTGAGTGTGTTCTTTAGGCGTGTAGGTTTGGAGGCTCATCTTCACTGAGGAAGACATGGATAGAGGGTACGAAAAGGAGAAAGAATAGTGTTCTACTGGCCAATTGGCTTATTTTAAAATTTTGCCTTGGGCTGATATTAGCCAAGCCATTAAAAATAAATTTAGATGTCTAATAGATTGCAGACAGACTTTATTCGACAGGTGTGGTGATTTGAATGAGAATGCCCGCCCCCCCCCCCCACCACCATGGGCTCATATAATTGAATATTTTGTCACCAGTTGGTGGAAACGTTTGTCACAGATCAAGAGGTTTCAGAGGGCAACAATATTAACAACTAGCCTACGGCCCCAGTTGTAGTATTTTGGCAAAGAATGTGGCTGCTTTTTGTCCTTATCCTATGAATTTTCCTGAGGCTAAATTGAAAAACAATGAACTAATTTCCTTGGCAAAGGAGATTTCAAGACAGCTTAATGCTGACTCTGTCATGTGGTTATCACACTTATACAGTAATCATGCTTATACAGGTCGGCAATGAAAAAGACCAGGTGGGGCAAAGAGAAATATAAAATATACAGTTTAAAGAGGAAAAGGAGTACCAGGAAATTTAATGTTGGAGCCAAGACTTTTGCTGAAAGAGATGAGATCTGATTGCTTTAAGAGAGAGGCCTGATCTGAAATGAAATAAAGGGAGGGGTGCCTTTAGGGCGAGACCTCACCTAGATAAGTTTTCAACTTGAAAAAAAAGGTTTTTTCTGCTCCAAAATAGCAGCAACAAACCAAAGCTGCTACAAATATGATCCCAGGGTGCCAAGTTGGTAGTTAAGCTTGGCACTGTCATCCCTGTGATTCTGGCTTTAGAGTCATGAAGGATGCAGGAGTAGGGGGTTCTGGAGACTTCCTCCATAGTGGAGAGCCACTGAAGCCAGGCCTAAGGTTGGGGAGTCCCTGAATGAAGGCCCTGAGATGTCAAAGCTGTGAAAGTGAAGCTTGGATTGTGTTAGAGACACAAAAGTGGTAGAGGTGCCAGAGTCATGGGATGTCTGCCAACGGGAGCTACATACAGGAAGTGGAACCAGCTCAAGAGAGAGAAGTGTGTTGCAAGCAGCAAAGCTGGAAGAGCAGAACCATGCACGTTCTTTGACATTGGACATGAAGCTATAGGAGTTGGAGTTTTCTCTGCTGGGTTTCAGTCTTGCTTTAGTCCGGTATTTCTTCACTATGCCTCCTTTCCTTTGTTTGAGAATGGTCATGTACATTCTGTGCCGTTACATGTTGGAAGTATATAATTTGCTTTTTGCTTTTGATTTTACAGGGGCTATAGTTAAGAGACTGCCTTAAGTCTCAGAAGAGACTTCAGACTTTTAAACAGTGTTGGGACTGTGAAAGACTATGGGGACTTTTGAATTTGGATCAAATGTATTTTGCATTATAATGTGACTACAAGTCTATGAGGACCAGGGAGTGGAATGTGGTAGTCTAAATAAGAATGACCCTCTAGGCTCACATATTTGAATTCTTGGTCCTCAGTGGGTAGGAATGTTTGGCATAGATTAGGAAGTGTAGTCTCATTGGAGGGAGTGTTCACTAAAGGTTGGCTCTGAGGTTTCAAAAGATTTGTGCGATTCCAGGGCTTTCTCTCTTTGTCTCATGATTGTGGATCAAGATGTGGGCTCTCAGCTGTTCATTTGCTTCGCTGTCATTGACTCTGACCCTCTGAATCCATAAGCCAAAGTAAATGCTTTCTTTCATCAGTTGCCTTGGTCATGGTGTTCTATCACAACAATAAAAAAGGAGCTAAGACACCCAACATGAATCCCATTTCTACCAGGCCCACTAAGTCCTTTGCAGCTATCCCAGAGTCCGGGTATGATTCTACACATGCCCAGTACTTCAACCTTTCATCTATTCTTCCAGCCCCTCAGCCTTGGGTTGAGCTATTTTACAGATGGCAGTCTACGGAAAGCAGAGTTAAGTACCTGTTCTCAGAAACACATTACTCCTCCCTCTCACCTGGCATTTCTTCTCCCACAGGCTTCGAAGTGTCATGCTTTCCACACTGCAGGCTGGGCACAGCTTGTTCCCAAAGGCCTCCTGGATCCGCAGAACCAGGCATTTGTGGTGGGCCTCATCCATGGCGTAGAAGTGGTTGAAATCCAGGAAGATGATCTCCTGAGGGTGCTGAGTGAGGAATGCATCAATCTCCATCAATCCATCCCAAACCTTGATGCCAAAGAGCCCATGGATGAAGTAGATCTCTTGGTCGGTGTCCCCCGGCTTGGAAGACACACGCAGGTCAAAGTAGCGGATGCCAGCCTCCAGCTGCTCCCGGAAGGTCAGGTTCTGAGTTACAGACCACTTCTTCATTAGCTTCTTCACCAAGGAGATCCGGGCGAGGCGTTTGACAGCTTGGGTTTGGTCAGGCCCCACTGGGGACTTTTCATCTACCCAGTAGCTGAATGAATCATGGGAGCCTGAAAAAGTAATAAAGGAAGAAGACCAGAGTTGAGACTACTCAACTGATAAGAAACAACAGTACAAATACATTATAAATAAATACTTGCAAAAACTTTCTAGCCTGCTGGGAATAAAATAAACACAAACGAAAGTAATGTTGTCTTATTAGCAGCTCGTTAAGCCTAGGGTAAGACTATAATTCTCACATATTGCTAGTGTAAGGTAAATTAATAACTGTTTAGAAAGCTATTTAGAAATATGCTTGGAAATCAGAGCTTTAAAATATTCATTGCATTTTGATCTAGTAATTTCATTTCAGGGAAGCTATTCTGGAGGAAATAAACTCAAACCTTTGGGGGAAAAAAAAAGCCAAGATGGCTGCCAGAGGCTGTCTCAATAGATGCGAACAGGAGGAGGCTTAAGTGTCTCTCCCAGAACGTTTATCTGTGTTATTCATTCCATTGAAATGTGGGCTGAGCTCAGGAATGTTGGGGCAGGCATATCAGTAAAGAATAACAACCATTCCTGATTCCATCATAATAAAAGCTTGGAAAGATTAGGACTAGAAGGAACATGTTTCCACACAGCAAAGGCTGTATACAGCAACCCACAGCCACCATTATGCCAAATGGAGAATGGCTCTTATTCAATGTAGCACCTGAAGTCTTAGCTGGAACACTATAACTAAGAAGGAAATAAAGGGGATATGAATATGAAAGGGAAAAGTCAAAACAACCTTATCTACAGATGATGCAATTTTGTTTCTAAGACACCCTAAGGGTTATACCAGAAAATTCTTAGACTGATAGTGTTTTTCTCAGCAAAATGGCAGGATATAACAATAACAGGTAATATTAATACCAATAACAAATATTCTGAGAAAGAAATGGGGAAACAATACTATTTTACAGTAGCCTCAAAACAAACAAGGAAACAGATACCCTTGAAATAAGACTGATGAAGGAAGTAAGGTATCTCACAATGAAAAATTTAAAACACTGAAAAACTGAAGAAAATACTAGACGACAAAATGACCTTTCATGCTCATGGATTGGCAAAATAATGAAATGATAGACAGCTCTCAAAGGGTGACATACAAATGGCCAATAAACATAAAAAAGTTGGGTTGGGGATTTAGCTCAGTGGTAGAGCGCTTGCCTAGCAAGCACAAGGCCCTGAGTTCAATCCTCAGCTCAAAAAAAAAAAAAAAAAAAAAAAAAACAAAACAAAAAACATAAAAAAAGTTTAAGCTCAGTAGCCATCAGAGAAATGCACATTTAAAATACATCACAATTCCATCTCATTTCAGCCTGAATGGCAGCCATTAAGAAAATAAAAACAAATGCTAGTAAGCATATAGACATAATAGAACCTTTATAGACCAATGATAGCAATGTATGGTACAGCCACTATGGAAATCAGAAAGAGGTTTCTGAAAAAATTCACAACACATCTACCATATGATCCAACCACACCACTCTTGTGTATTTACCCAAAGGTCCCTAAGTCAACACATCACAGAAACACTTGCACAGTGTTCATTATAGCACTCTACACAACAACCATCATGAAGCCAACCTAGGTGCCCAACAGCAGAGGGATAGTTAAATAGCGTGTAGTGAATATACACCATGAAACTCCCCAAGCCATAATAAAGAATGAAATTGGGGCTGGAGAGATGGCTCAGCGGTTAAGAGCACTGGCTGCTCTTCCAGAGGACCTGCGTTCAATTCCCAGCACCCACATGGCAGCTCACAACTGTCTGTAATTCCACTTCCAGGGGATCCAACACCCTTACACAGATGCACCAATGCAAATAAATAAATCATTTTTAAAAAAACAATGGAATTATATCATCTGCAGGAAAACAAATCCAACTGCAGATAATCACAGGCAGGGAATCAAGTCAGTCTCCAAAACACAAACAGCATGTTCTCTCTCATTTGTGGTTCCTAGATTTTAATTCAACACATAAAATATGCACTCAAAACATGAAAATAGAAGCAAAATGAACTGGGGAACAAAAGAGACTAACGGGGAAGGGATGAGAGAGGCAGATAAGGAGGCATGGAGCGTGTGTGTTCCACGTACAATATGTACTTGTATGAAAACGCCTGTATGGAACAGTACCGTGTGCAATGAATACACAATGGAATTCAGCAAAACAGAAAACCTCTTGTACCTTTCTCAAATATACAATGCATTATTGTTTTCTATAATCACCTCAAATATTGTGATGGAACTAGCAAAATAGGCTTACACTTCCTATCTGTTTAAAATATAGCAAATAAAATGTAAAGGAATATTTCTGTAAGTAATGTGGGCATATCTTTGACTATACAATGCTATTATATAAAAGGATGATGTACTTAATATCACACTAATTTGTGTATGACTGGAACCATAATTTTATCTTCTATAATCTGATTTCTCTTAAACACTTTAGTTTAATTTATCTCAATTTTAAAATAAAATAGCCTTAACAAATAATTGTACTCACTAGCCTGAACCAGAAGGCACCAGGACTAGGGCACAAAAACAGAACAAAACACCCACAAACATACAACGTATAAGCATGTGTGTGTGTTGGGGGTGGGGACACATTTGCCTATTTGTGCACAGAGGCCACAACCTTGAAACAGACTCTCACTGAATCTGGGGCCTAGACCGGTGAACAGCAAGCCCCAGCCATCCTCTTGCCTCTCTGGCCGCAGGCCCTCATTCTGACCCTGATAACCTTTCCCTTCACAATCACACCAGGATTCTTTTATTCATACTACTACTTCTTCATCAGCTCTCTGCTGAACTGAACTTTAGAGCAAGCATTTCATACACACACACACACACACACACACACACACACACATAACAAAATTACATGAAAGTGTTGGTCATATTATCTCCTTGTTCTGGGAACAAACCATCCTCCACTGACTTTATCCCATCATCTCAGAAGTAAGAGTGAACAAAAGAAAAACAGGTTACAAATGATGCTCTATTATTATGTAGCATCCAGAGAGTGGAAGAGATTCAGTTAAATTTTAAGAAATAGCATATTTATGACTCCTTAGGTGAACCGAATTTCACAAGTGAGAAAATTACCAGCATATTTCAGGTAAAAGAAAAGCTATTACTAATAGAAATGTGGGGCGAGTCCCCCTGGACCTTCTGCATTGCATCTTGTAGCTAATGAGGCTCACTGGGTTCTGCCTAATGCTCAGCTTCCTTTGGCTGTACAGAAACAGGGCCTTTTTATACCTCCTTATTGAGAGATTTATTGCAAACCCTTAGATATAAGGGTGAACAGCCAGTTCACTCTTCCTTCTAAATTGCATTAATGAGCCAGCTGTTTGGGACACGGTATGTAACAGAATGCAAGGCACACACTCCACCTCATTCTGGCCTGGGCACCAGGGAATAGCTGGGAGCCAAGCATGGAGGACAGGCACATCTCTTCTGCAGTGTGCTTGCTGGTGCTGAGCCCAATTTCAGCTCCATGGGGAGATGTGCTAACAACCCCCGATGCTTTGCTCGGCTGAGAACTGTGCAGAAATGTGACAGCCATGGGACCCCAGGGACCATTTCTGATTGCACAGGACACACACCATTCCCAGCCCACTCCACCGAAGAAAGAGAAGCCCACCCCACAAGAGTGAAGGTGAGCAGAGTTCCTGAGAACAGCCGTCTGTCTCCCTTGGACTCTGTCCTCCTTGCAATCTCCAAGGCCACATCAACCTCCCCAAAATCCGGTACCCCATCCCCTGCCCCCAACCTGTTGTCTGCAGGGTGTGATGTTGGTGCAGGCTGCTGAATACTCCACAGGGGTTATCTTACCCATGCCCACAGAAGTCAAAAGCAACCTTCACCCATTAAGAGTTCTTCTCAATTGTTTTGTCCTTTCTACTTATTCCCCCTCCCCACACAAAATTTTTATTAACACAGAGTGAATAAAATAACAGTGAAGGCAATGTAAAGTTCTGGTAAGTGGTTGGGTAAAGGAAAATGGATGATGGGGAGGAAAGACTTTAAATCCAGTTCCAAATTTCAAGTCCCTGTGACTGGATTAATTATCGACAGAAGTTCCAGAGTACTTTGCAGGGGATGAGGGGATGAAGGAATACTTCCTGGGGGTGACATCAACAGTACGTCAGTATGTTTTGGAAATAAGTAATTCATTGTGTGTTCAGACCACCAGGTGGAGCCTTCCCCAAGAAGCTGGATATGTAGAACTCACATGTATAATCCCAGTACCTAGGAGGCAGAGGCAGGAGGATGCCATAAATTTCACGCCACCTGGACTGCATAATGAATAGCAAGAACTTTGGTCATATGAGTCCCTCCTTTATGGTCTATACTCCCAGGACTAATTTTAGCCCTTAGAGGGGAGGTAGGTGGGGCTGGAGAGATGACTCAGTTCCCAAGAGCTCTTTCTGCTCTTGCAGAGAATCAGAGTTCAGTTCCCATATGGTGGCTCACAATCACCTGCAGCTCCAGTTCTGAGGGATCAAGCATTCTCTTCTGACCTGCATGGGCTCCTGTACACACACATATACTCCTGCAAGCTCACAGAAATATACATAAATAAAAAAAAATACGTCATTTTTAAAAGATGAGGAATTTTTCTCCAAGTTCTAGAAATTCTCTGCAATCTCTTTATTTTTATAGCTATTGTTATATTTGTTTCTTCCTATTTTTTTTTATATCAACAGCACTTTACATTACTTGTTCCTCTTGATGTATGCAAAACTCTGGAACAATATATGTGTTGGGAGCATAGCACGAAGGTCTTTGCACCCACAGAATCTCCTGAGAAACCAGGGATGTTAAACACACAGGACTGTCTTTCCAATGGGAAAGATGAAAAAAACCTGTTCTTCCATCCAGAAAGCTGAGAATTGGAAGCGTGATAAACGGCCTGGTGATCTGCATTATCTGTTGGTTCAGGCCATATTAAGCTCTTAAAACCAAGACTGGTGGTGGCTAGTAATCTAAATGACCCTGATAGCCAGAGGCTCTT